ATATTCTTTTGACACCCATACTTCCAGCCTTATCAGTTCAATTATTTATTCATTCAACTTTATTACATATTTGTACGTTCAATGTACTGATGTCATTCGCAGATACATGTGTTCAAGATCATCAATAGGCGTCTCATTGAGATCACTTTGCACTTCAGATAACTTGCCTCCTTGCATTCTGGAGGACTTCACTTTGATTTCTAGTTACGACAACCATCTTAAATTATAGAGGCTTCATAGATAGATAAACTTGAGGAGTCTCTCAATACTTTCTTTTCCTTTGTGATGTTTTGCAGACTATTATTATTGCATTGAGTATTTTTCAACAGTATGAGCTGAGCATTTTAAAATTTTAAGGGTTTACTTCTGTTTTAAGCCTTTAAATGCTTGAGTCGGTCTTTCGCTAAGTAGTTAGCCATACCAAGGGTTCGCTTGGGGACCAACAATGATTCTCGAGTGCCGGCCACGTCCAAGGTGTAGGCTCAAGGCGTGACATGATCCTTGCATGATTGCGCGGAAAAACTTAATCTGTTAGAAGACTTTAAACTCGACTTAGTGCTAGAAGTCTCTTATGTTTCTAAACAACATCCGACTCGGTCCAAGTTGATGCACTTACAATGAGAGGTTTAGATCTTTAGCGTAGAGTTTATGGGGTGTTACAATTTATTAGTAATAGTAATTCTAATAACCCTAAATCATAAGTCTCTATAGGTATAATATCCGACTCTCGAATCACTATATTACCTGACGATCTGTGTTAGGGAGCAACACTCACAAATGCACGAGTAAAGTCTCCTTACATCCTACCTTCCTCAAATTCCACTTGTGAAATTATATTAATATATCATTATTATTGTATTATCCGATCGAAAATTATACAAATTCAGCACCAAAACTCTAAAAACAAAATCATGAAAATTACAACTTAAAAGAGTGTCCAAACTTGCGGGATTGAGAAAAAAAATTCCAAGTTGGAATCATCGTATTGCATCAAGTTGTGGACAATATAAGCAAGCAAACAAGTCCTCTAGCTATCAATTTACTTTGAACTACTAAATCATAAATATTTCAGCCCCATACCCAAAATATAAATAACAAGTTGAAGGACTCAAAAAGACTCAACCTACCTCAATCACACATTCATATCCTCTTCCTACCCCCATCTTGGATGAGATAAGATTAATGAGGTGCTTGCACGTGTCACCTCTATTGTGGTGACTTAAAATGTAAGAAGAAAAGAATTTCCAACCTTTCATATGTAGATATTAAGTAATTGTATAATGTTATCAAGAACCACATAACATATCAAACCTTATCATTTCATTATATAAAGGGTAGTGGACATCAAAAGGTTCATATTGAACTAAAAAAAAAAAGAAGAAAAAGTAGAAGAAGCAATATGGCTTCCTCTGTTATTTCCTCTGCAGCTGTTGCTACACGCTCCAATGTTACACAAGCTAGCAGCATGGTTGCACCTTTCACTGGTCTCAAATCTACTGCTACTTTCCCTGTTTCAAGGAAGCAAAACCTTGACATCACTTCCATTGCTAGCAATGGTGGAAGAGTTAGGTGCATGCAGGTAATTAACTCATCGATTTTCGATATATATATATATACACTGACAGTATGAACAATTGATATTTTCTTAGTATGTTGTAACATGTAATCTGCCTTATTTCTTGATTCAATTATCTAAGGGGTTTATAGGTTGTTACATGTTATATATGTTAGTTACTCTCTTTCTGACTCAATTTATGTGATAGTAGTACTATTTTATTTTAGTTTGCTTGTCTGATCTTAATTTGACATAATTTTAAGAAAGTAACAAAGTATTTGACATCTTGTGGTTTTAAACTAAAGTTATGTAGAATGTACCAAAATGTCCTTTGATTTTGTGGTTTTAAACATGTCAATTGTCACGTGGGAAGTTATAATTAAATAATTATAAAAAAAGAAGAGTAATACAAACAAATTGAAACAGAGGGAGTATATGTGAGTTACTCACCTTTGATCTAGTATATGCAATTAGTATTTTTCTTTTTAGTCAGTTTCAAAAGAACGACACATTTTTATATTTAATAGTAGTATTGATTTAAGTTACCCCTAATGAGATGATTTATAATCACATAAATATTTATATTTTCTTAGACCATGAATTACAGAAATCTTTCTTTATTCTTAAACTCCATATACAATTAAATACCTCCACATAAAAATTAAAATAAGAGAGTATCTTTTAAGTTATTTGATAATTCATAGAAGTTAAAGATTCAATTGCTTAACTTATCTTTGATTATATTATACACATGGAAAAGATAAAATGGTGTATCCCACGTATAAACTCTATGTTCAAAATTAAAGACGAATTCAGGATCTAAAATTAATGAATTCAAAATATCTCTATCTTATTATGTGTATACAACTTAATTTTTCCATAGTTCAAGTTGAAAACAATACCATAACTTATCCTAAATCCATGGTAGATCTAAAATTTCAAATTACTAGGTATGGACCACAACACTTAAGAATATTTTGTGATAATAAGTCTTAAATTTAAACAATATTTACAATAGACACTAGGTGTTATTACATCACGAGTCGTTGCCTATATTGCTTGGATTGTTTTTAAAAATGTTGACAAATACATGTTAAGTCCTTCAAAATAGTGCATTTTTAGATAATTCGATAAGAGTGTAACAACATTTTCAGAAAGTCGATAACTTAATTTTTTATTTTTTTTGGGGATATGTATATAGGTATGGCCACCAATTAACATGAAGAAGTACGAGACACTCTCATACCTTCCTGATTTGTCTGACGAGCAATTGCTTAAGGAAGTTGAGTACCTTTTGAAAAATGGATGGGTTCCTTGCTTGGAATTTGAGACTGAGGTCAATATCTTTTTCTAAATTTTGTCACATTTACTTTCGTTTTATCGGAAAATGACACATTTTTATATTTAGATACGATTTATTTTTAATACTTCAATGTGTTGTTTCTTATGTACAGCACGGATTTGTCTACCGTGAGAACCACAAGTCACCAGGATACTATGATGGAAGGTTAGTAGCGGATTCAAAATTTAAAGAATTTATTCAATTAACTCGTACTTTTTTAGTTAAATCATAGGTGTGGGTACGAGAATCTTGAAAACTAGTATAAATATCATGTTTTGAACTCGTGTATTAAAAAAAAACTCATAAAACGTACTCTGAACATCACTAGTATATATAAATTATGATGACATGCAAGTGAGAAATGAATACATAGTTTAAAGGGAAAAAGGATAAATATACCCCGAAACATCGTAAATGGTATGCAGATACCCTCTGTCATATTTTTGGGTCATTGGTGCCCCTGCCGTCCAAAAACTAGAGCATATATGCCCTTCACTCTAACGGAACACTAAATAGGGACACGTGGCACAATCTTATCCGTCGATCCTATATTTAATAAATGTCAGGTCCATGGATAAGATTATGACATGTGTATATCCGTTAGTATAAAGGGTATATATATGCTCTAGTTTTTGGACGGCAGTAGCACCAATGTCCCAAAAATATGACGGAGGATATCTGCATACCATTTACGATAGTTCGGGGTATATTTGTCCTTTTTCCCAATTGAACACAAACTTTTTAGTTACATCATAGATATAGATACGAAAATCTTGAGAATTAGTATATGTAAATCAAAAGTTTTCGTAAAAGTCATAGATTCTGAAAAAGTTGAAATTTTGAATCCGCTTGTGTCTGACAGGTACTGGACCATGTGGAAGTTGCCCATGTTTGGGTGCACTGATGCCACCCAAGTGTTGGCTGAGGTTCAAGAGGCTAAGAAGGCATACCCACAAGCATGGATCAGAATCATTGGATTTGACAATGTGCGTCAAGTGCAGTGTATCAGTTTCATTGCCTACAAGCCAGAAGGCTACTAAGTTTCATATTAGGAACAAAATTGTCTTTAGGGACACTTTGTTTTTAAATGCTACTTAGGAGGTTCTTTTTTATTTTTTCTTAATTCCAACAAACTGTTTATGTTTTCTTAATTTACTATTCGGTTTATGTTTTGGATTTATGAGGACCTAATTATATGATGATTTGGTGCTTTGTTTGTAAATTTTGATTCTTGTGGTTTATGACTTTTTGTGTTTCATAATATCTTCAATCCTAAATGCAAATTGTCTACAAATTGGAGTAGAGGTAGGAGAAGGAGAAATAGAGGAGGAGATTAGGTGGAGAATCGAACGAAAGTTCAAATAGTCAATCAATTAAGATATTAAGATTCCTCAACTGATGCTCTGATATTGACAAAAGTGTTTTTTCAAACACAAGTTGCTACTCTTCAAAAGTACATTTTTAACAATAAAAAAAAAACACGCTTTCCAACAAGTTGCTATTCTTCGAAAGTACCTTTTCAACTAAAATCACTTGCCAAAAAAATAAATGGCTTTGAAAGCTCGACCAAACAGGCTATTAGCAAAGGACAAGTTTGTCACTCTCAAGGCAAATATTTTTTATATCTCAAAAGGTTTTCTTGGCCATAATTGTAGAAGCTGGAGATAAAAGAGATAGGATTTCAAATATTTCCAAATGAAATACTCCTACAAGATTTATACTACTTGAGAACACTATCACAAGAAATTTAAAAGTTATATGCAACAAATAGGTAGGTTAAAGAACTAAAACAACAAATCCCTGGGTCCACCTGCATATTCAAGTGAATCCACTTACCAATAATAAGACATGTGAGACACAAGATATGGTCAGGAGAATCCAGTGGTCAATGAAATGGTTGAGAGCCGTAAAGTCTTATGTTTAAATCTCAATCTAGACAAAAACACTAGGTGATTCTTCCTATCTGTCATAACTTTGGTGGACAAAGTTGCCTAGTACCTATTGCTAATGGGAGATGATAAATATCTCGTGGAATTAGCCAAGGTGCGCAAAAATTGGATCAGACACCACAATCTTTAAAAAAAGATTTCAAAAATGTTGGGGAGAAAAACGAAACTTAAATCACCATTCTCTATTCAAAAATTTCACATATATACATTATACAATACTACTAGTTTAATTTCAAATATCAAAAATTTGGGGCACCAAAAACAATGGAGTGCATTTACATATGCACCCAAACAAAATTATCACACCTCTCAACCACCTTATTTTCACTGTGCAAAAGAGAGACATCTTTGCACAGTAATATTAAAGCAAAACCAAAACCAAAACTTTAGCCTAAATTCTCCAAAAAATTGTTCTTATTTTCTAGTCGAATATTCTATATACAGAGTTAATAATCGATATTCCTTTATATACCGTTCAGTAAGGAAGATTTATGCCATAGCAGCCATGCGAGAGTTTAGGCAGTCAAAGCCCTCTACTCTATTTGGTGAGTGAGGTTTCCCGAGTCTTGCCCTTGCACACCTTCCTTTACAACTTGATGATGGAGAAGTAGATGGACTTGGCGATGAAGATAAACGGTGTTGCTTTTGATTTGAGAATTGAGCATCATGGATTAATGGATTCATAACCCTGCAAGGCGGTGAACCAGAGAAGAATGGAGGGGATGATGACAAATCTGATGCATATTGTCTTGCAGCTACGCCGTCCTGTTAGACCATGAAGATCATTTTAAGAAGTGGCAGGTTGAATCAGTGGAATGAGTTATGACATTTTCCGTAAACAGTAGGCAAGCAACAAAAGAAACACCTATATGCACTATGTTGTTGGGACTCTCCAAATGCCTACACCCGTGTTGGATCCTCCAAAAATGCACTACTTTTGGAGGATCTGACACGCACCCATCAACATTTTTGAAGAGTCCGAGCAGCATAGCATATACATGTAGACACAGGTAAACTGACAGTTGAATGTGATCAGTAGAAACAAAAAAACAGTCGAAATTAACTAAACAAATCTACTAAAGATACCATCATACAAGTCATATTAATTAAATGCATTTCCCAAACTCACATTTCCAGATTATAATTAAACGACGCAGGAAAGAACAGTAACCAACAAATTCAATTTTTACCTACCTTATGCAATTGGTACAAGCTAAAAACATGATTTGAACTGAAGATCTATTACCTTTCTAGTTTTCTGTTCATCTGGCAAACTCAAAAACATGCTTTGGGGGATAAATTATGCTTCATTAAGAATACATACAAAACCATAATTGTGTTTCCATAAGGCTCCTTTTAGAAATATTTGCCGAAGGCACATCTAGTGTCCTCATAAGAGTTCGATATTGAGATGGTTAAAAAGATGATGGATGGAATGATGGGGCCAAGGACTGGGATAAACAGAAAGACAGGAACATTGCAATTATCATTTGATTGGACTCAACTACCTTCAATTTCCAATTTGTCTCATGAAACAGGGTTTAACTACTCTTGCGGATTGAATATTTTCTGTGCAATTAGACATTACCTTGACACCTTAAAATCATTTACCGTTTGGTAGCTGGTTAGAGTTATGCAGGGTTTAGTTATTCCACCTTCTATCCTGTGTAAAACAATAATATAGATTCCCTCATAATTTATACATGTATCAATAATGCGGGTTTCTAAACTGCAAACCAAACAACATGTTGATTTTATACACTGAATAACTTACCTCCTACCCAGCTACCAAACGTGGTATTACGTATGCAGAATTTAATACTTGCATAATTTGACTCTACATCAGCTACCAAACAACCCCTTAAGAATCAAAGCTACTTCTAAGAAAAATAATTTAGGTATCAAAACCACCAAGAAGAAGGAGCTCCGGGTTAGCCACCCAAGCGGTGGCGGAACTAGAATTTTGGCTAAGGAGTGTCAAAATATAAAGAAGTGAGATTGCATAGAAGCCAAGGAGTGTCAATATGTAATATATATACATAAAAAATATTTTTATTCTACCCTCACAATGTAACTTTCTGATGAACCTCAACAACATGTGGCTCCGCCACTGCACCCAAGATCCCCTTCTAGTAGGCCAACTACTTGATTGATTACCTTCGTTGAACTACTAAAATCATGTGTCAATTGGCTCCTCTCCATGAGACTCATACCATAAACAACACTCACATAGCTATTGAGCATCATAAATGAGAACTGAACGGAGTGTGTAAGATCGCATTATGTAGCTTGGAATTCTACACACTCTGCCAACAATGAGGATATTTTCATATTGACAATATGCAAACATGCTACAATATTTGCGATTATATAGATACATGCAAACCCAACTTACTCAAACAATATGCAAGCAATGACAGAACCAGGATTTTTCATTAAGGGGTTTCAAAAATATGAAGAAGTAAATACACGAAGATGCCAAGGGGATTCAACATCTACTGTATAAAAAGAAAAAACTATTTCAACCTTGTATATACAATGTAATTTACCACCAAAGGGAACGAACCCTTTTTCCCCTACCTGGCTCCGCCCCTATTTTGCAAGTTTAGTTATGTAAAGACACTCGTATTAGTCCGTATACATATCACCTTAGCATCTGAAGCTTTGACAGACAACATGTTGAATTAATTACATGCAGAGAAACTTATATACGATAAGATTCATCCCTAAGTAATTATGTCAATTCCTATAGAAACAACATAGTGATCTAATCAATTAACTTAGCCTGAATCCCAAACTAGATGGAGAATAGCTACACGAATACTCTGCATCCATTATGCTCTATTCATGCCGGATTCAATATTCAAAGATTCATCACAGTTATTCTCTTTCTTCATCATCAGCCGGATCACTATTCGCAACATTGACCGTCATCCTACCACAACCCTCCTCATTTAAAAATCTTCCATTTTTGAAAAATACAAAAGGAATTAAAACATCCCTATAGATTCACATACAACAACAACATAACCAGTATAGCGGAATCTCCTGGGAGAGTAGAGCGTATTCACACTTCACCCCTACCTTGACAGGTAGAGAGACTGTTTCCGATAAACCCCGGATCAAGGAAAACAATAACACAAAATTTATGAAGACATAAGCAATAACAACATCACCATAGACAACAATTAAATAATACAATGGGGTGAATTGATAATCATGAAAAGAAATTCTAACCTCTTTACCAATGAGATCAAAAAGTTCTTCACCCCCTTTTGAAATAAAAACCTCAGCTTGATTTCTTTTCCCACCATCAAAAAAAAAAAAAAGTAAGAACAACCCATTAAACAGAAGATCAACAACATAAATGGGTCATTAAAATCTTGAAAAATAAGATTAGAAATTTTTTTAAAAAAATCACCTTAAAGGAAGGCAGTTAGAATGGGTATTGATATTCCCAGGCCGACGAGGTTTGGGGCAAATAAGTGAACCCATCGGATAAATGGGGATGTGAAAGTGGCTGGAACCCAATTTCAGTCAGCATCAAGGGAACGGCAAAGCCCCAGTATACTTTTGATAAACAACTAATTAGAAGTATTTTCTATCTTCCTACAATTATGGCAAATGCCTAATTTCCTTTAAACAATAAAAACTCCTTATATACAATGCCTATTACTTTCATTCCATATTTCTAGGACTTATATTTATCTCCATCCTATCATTAGTTTATTAGTTGAGTTGGCAATATGTATCTCTTTCTATTTATTTTTTTTAAAAAAATATTAAATATTTTTTGGATGATCGCGAGTGCCGAGTAGGGCTATTCATGGTTTTGGTTAAAAAATCAAATCGAGCCACAATCCGAACCAAACCAATTAAAAAAAATGATATTTGGTTTGGTTTGATTAGATTTGGTTTTAAATTTTGAAAACTGATACTATTTGATTTGATTTTGGTTTTACTAAAAAACAACAACAAAATTAACCAAACCAATATATTAGATAAGTATATAAATTTTATAATATTTATATATTATTCATAAATAAAATATAAATATTTTGTTAAATTTTAATTAACTTAAGTTTTTAACTTTACCATTTTCTCAATCCCAACACTTTAGCCCAACTATAACAATCCTTAGTCCAAATCCATCAAAATCCATTTTAGTCTTTACCGACCCTACTTTAGATGAAATAGTCACACTTTCTTTTAATTGAATCACTTTGTTCGTGCAATGATAACTCTAGTATTGCTTAATTGAACCGACAATAGCTTTTATGTGGATTGTTCATGTACTAGGTGCTTGTGTCTATCGAGATACGTATGTCCTCAAAAAATTATTACTTTCAAACCGAATAAATCAGAAAAAATGAACTAAACCGATAATAACCAAAACGATGATTATTTTTTCGTTTGGTTTGGTTTGATTTTAGAAATTTAAAAAACTGACTAGATTGGTTTGGTTTTGATTTTAATCAATAACCGATTCAAATCGAACCACGAACACCCCTAATCGTTCGTAGGTGGACGTATCGAACAGAAATAAGATCTCAGATTGACATCTTGATACACTGATTAGCCATAATAATAAATAGAGTCAATGCTGATTACTCCGTCGTAGGAAGAGCCGCGTCCTTTTTGCTTGATAGGGGGCCTTCAATTAACCAACACAGACTACAAGTGCTCTCCGAACCGTGCTAGATAGTCACACATCACACGGCTCTCAAACCCAATCTATGGAGGATCTGAGCTAGTTTTTGCGTACATCAACTAATTTCACGAGATAACTGTCACCTCCCATTGGATTAGTTGTTGCGCACCTCAACTAATTCCACAGGATATCTGTCGCCTCCCACTAGTAACAAGTATTAGATAACTCTGTCCATCAAAGCTAAGATTGATGAAAATGATCGCCTAATATTTTTTGTCTCCACTTTTTTATTAGTATACATAAGATTAAAAAATAAAATGCTAGTAGTACGTGAATTTTTAAATTATAACTATTAAATTTCCTTGAAATTGTTGGTGAAAATATAATTACAATTAAAAAATAAAATATCGTGTCGTATTCTAAAATTATTAAACACAAAAATAATACTTCTTCTAAAACTAATTATTCTTTATCTGTTTCAAAGAACCTTAATAAATAGAGTTTTTTGGTGATAAGATGAGCAACAAGTCCAATGGGACAACACAATAATATCAGTGGAATAGAATGTCGTGTTTCTACATCATTCTGCAGTCCATCATGATAAACTTGCCTGTTTTAAAAAAAAAAAGAAAAAAAAACTAAAGTTAATAAGAGTTTTAATTATTTTTTTAAAAGGAAAAATAAATAAAGAGAAAAGAGAAAATGAGTCCCTTAAATATTCATTGAATCTTATAATTAGTATAAAAAGTTGACATTTTTAGTCACCATCAAATATCATCAAAGTCTATCGGTTAGATTTTAACCTTAGTTTAGTTAAGATTTCTCTTTGAAATTTCGGTCATAATCTAAGGGTACTTGTGCCTTATCCTTAAATTATTAAATATTTAACAAATATCAATTTTTTACTTTTTTTTACAAACTTTTTAAAAAAATCAAAATTGTTCAATGCATATTTAAGTGTATTTTAAATCTATCCATAAATATAAAGAATATTTTTTGTTATTTTTTCTAATTCAGATTTAAAAAAATAAATACAGACAAAGATAGACCAACCTAGCAGCAAAAAGATCTATAATCAAGAGGTGAATCCATGCAGATGCTAATGTCATCTCCCTGGAAAACATTTTAGCTATACCAGCCAGCTGAATGACAATACAATGTTAGGATAATATTTAACTAGTCACAAAATTTAAGAAAAAAAATTGAATTTTATGATCTTACATATATTATATAAAGGGATAAGGGTCCGAAAAATACCCCAACTTTGGTCAAATTTGTTGTTGCGATACTAAACTTTCATGAGGACCTATTACCTCCCTAGACTATTTAATACCGTATTTTTTACCCCCTGAACTATTTTTTAAAGGTATATATGTGCCCACGTGGACACATTACTATTATAATTTTGCATTATTTTTTATGTCCACGTGGGCAAATATTTATGTTTAAAATACGGTATTAAATAGTTTAGGGAGGTAATAGGTTTTCATGAAAATTTAGCATCGCAATAACAAATTCGACCAAAGTTGAGATATTTTTCAGACCCTTATCCCTTATAAAAATATTTAAACGGCTATAAGAGCATGTTATTAAAGGTGAAAAGAGAACACATGGAAGGTAATAATATACTCATATTCTATGTTTGTATCAATTTAATAAATATTCTTATACTCATATTTAGGGATGTTTGTGGTTTGAATCGATTATTGGTTAAAATTAAAATCAAACCAATCTAGTCGGTTTTTAAAATTTTTAAAATCAAACCAAATCAAATGAAATAAATAACTGTCAGTTTGGTTATTGTCGGTTTAGTTCAGTTTTTCTAGTTTTTTTTTGTTTGAAAGTAATAAATTAGTTGACGACATACGTATCTCAATAGACACAAACACCTGGTACATGAACAATTCATAGAAAAACTACTGTTGGTTCAATTAAGCAATACTAGAGTTATTATTACACGAACAAAGTGATTCAATTAAGAGAGTGTGACTATATTATGTGAGGTAGGGTAGGTAAAGACTAAAATAATGGATTTTGATGGACTTGGACTTACGATTGTAATAGTTGAGCTAAAATTTAAGTGTTGGGCTTCAGAAAATGGTAAAGTTAAATACTTAAGTTGATTAAAATATAACAAAATATTTATATTTTATTTATGAATAATATATTAATTATAAATTTTATATATCTAATTTATTGGTTAGGTTTGGTTATTTTTGCGGTTGTTTTTTAGTAAAATCAAAATCAAACCAAATAGTGTCGGTTTTTCAAAATATAAAACCAAATCAAACCAAATATTGGTTTTTTTAATCGATTTGGTTCAGATTGCGATTCAATTTGATTTTTAAATCATAAGCATGAACAACCCTACTCATATAATTAAATGACACTCCTTTTATTTTAATTATGTGGCATCGTTTGAATCGTAAGAGTCAAACATTCTAATTTTGATTGCGAATTCATGTCAAGAATCTTGAAGTTTTTTGTAACAAAATTTATATACTTTGAAACAACATAAAAAGTACTATAAGTCACAATAATTGACAATTTAAAATATTTTAAAAATATGTATGAATAAATTACGGTAAAAAAGATAGATTTGTTTGAATCTCAAAATTTGAAAGGTACCACATAACTTGAGATAGAAGTAGTAACTGATTAATTAAATAATTTCACCTTAATATATAAGTCACTCATTAATATGACCTGATGTAAACACCGAATATGGATAATTTCTTACCGAGAGAGAATCAAGGGGCAAATATACCAATTAAGTTATGTGATCGATTAAACTCAATAGCTTTAACTAAAACCTATAACCATATTAAAATTTTCATTTAATATATATAAATAATTTATTCAAAACTTAATGAATTTCAATAACGATAAACTTAAAATTCTGAATCGGTAATAAATATAGTTGAGCACAAACCTCTGGAATCCAAGATGTATTAGAAGGAAATAGTAGTTGCAATGTATCTGGTGTCCAAGAAAGGTATAAGAGATATGAATACAAAAGTCCAAGCACAATATAAGGAGTGTTGCTTTCCATCATTTTTTGGGTCTGCAATTAGCATGATAAAACAATAATATTTATGAGAGAATTAAGCAATTGTCAATACTTTGTTTGGCCTGATTTTTTTTATTTTTTAAAATTAAAAGTATTTTTCAAAAAAGTTCTATCTCCATATCTCTATAAAATGTGACAAGGAAGTAGCCAATTTAGGTTGATAATATTTTAAAAAGAGTTTAAGTTTCATATACTGTCAGTATAAGTAATTCTTTTTTACAGTATCAAATTATTTAAAAGATATTTCCAAATAAATCTTATTGAAATATAGAATTTGATAGATTATCCATCGTAACATATAAAAGATAATCTAACACTATAAAAATTACTTATATTGAAAATGTTACTTACAAGTTTTGCTTTAGGTGCCACAACCATAATGACATAAAAAGGAAGAACTGCAATTGTTCCCATTGGGAATACACTTTTAACAACTTTAGAACTTGCTAACCCTGCAAAAGAAGGGCTTATACTAAATTACCCAAAAATCTCATAATTTACTCTTATTGTTTTATTTTACTTAAATTTTATATTAAAATAAAAATAAATAAAAAAATTATTTGTACATTTTAATAAATCAAGAGAATTTATCAATTTCTTTCAATACTATTTAGTAAAATTATTTGTACAAGTATCCCCTAGAGTACTATGACCGAAATTTCAGAGATACACCTTAACTAAACTAAGGTCCTATTTCCCCCTGAATCCACTTTTTTATTTTTTATTTTTATTTTGTACACCTTTTTGACTTACGTGACACTGGCATCCAAATATCTCTCACGCACCTCAATTGTGTGGAGTCATGGAGTGTGCCACGTAAGCCAAAATGTGTACAAAATTACAAAAAAAAAAAAAAAAGAGTTCAGGAGGGTAATAAAACCTTTGTTTA